TCAATGCAACCCAGCTGGCCTCCAGTTCCTGTCTTAAAGAAGTCCCTAAAATTCAACACACGTCACTTGGGCATAGCTGGGGGACCTCTTCAGGGAGCTTTCCTTTGAACAACGTTCCTTTTCTGCAGGATCTGCTGTTTGCAGCAGAATTGTCAAGAAACCACAGAGTGCCTATCTAGTGTATTTAGTAAAAATGACAAAAGCTTTTAGTTTGCAACCAGCCTGGGGTGTCTTGGTATTTCTTTCAGCAGCTAAGGGTAAGAACTGCCTGGCCGAAGTGAAGTTATCCTGAGATTTATCTCAGATTTACAAATCAGTTCTCTTCTAATAATACCTGATGTGCATTTAGTGCTGTCTGAGCATTCCCAAAAACTTTCTGAGCATCCAGGAGGTCAAACTTCCTTAGCTTTTGGGTCTAAGGAAGGTAATGATTTTATACAGGAAAATTTGGCATGCTCAAGGTTAACCACGCAGCTGTGTAGAACAGGGAGGGAAGAGGCCTGATTCTGCTGGGTCTTTTGGTCAGATTACCAGGAGAAAGAAGGGAGACAATGTGGTGTATGAGGGGGATCTCTAGTTCTCTCTGAGGAAGGACAAATCCCTTATGCCAAGGGAGCAGGCACCCAGCATAGTGTTTTATGGACATCATAATGGGAGGAATGAGTACTATCTCCACCTTCCTGAGCTCCCTGCCTACCTGTGGATGCTCAGCTCTGCTTTCTCACAAAGCATGGCTTATTTCCCAGCAACATATTTCTACATATCTTGGAAAACACTCTGGAGTTGGGGCATATGGTTCCACAGAGCAAACTGCCCTACAAGGGACATATGCTTCCTCTGGCTTGAAGTGCTAATCAAATGAGGGCAAATAAGATCTACTGGATCAAAAGCAATTCCCAGCATTTCTGGATCCTCAGAGACTGAGTGCTTTCTGGAACCCCTCTGGAGAGCTTTCTTGTGTGAGAGTTCACTGGGGCCAGTCTACCAAGGAGTTTAAACATACAGCCCTTTTGATATCAGTGGGGACTTAGGCTGATTTCTTTAATGGGGAGAATGTAGCTATGTTTCTTCCCAGGTGCTGTCTGATGCTCGCTTTCTTTTTCTTTCAATCTGATTACCAAAAAGGCTGCTTAAGACAATAGGCAGATTTGTGCACTTGCTGGCTGCAAGTAGCAGGAGACCTCTGCTAGAGCACAGGGTAATGGCTTGGAGAGGGCAGGTTCAAATGCAAGGTCAACCAATGAGTAGTGCCAAAGCACATCATTGCTATTGATTGAGGAAATGAGTACCCATCCACTTTGCTTTGTGGAGATCAAGTTACTGCAAAATGAACAGGGAAAGGAGGGTATCAATGATTAAAAAAAAAAAAAAAAGAGCTCAGGTGTTGGATTTCTAGAGAAAATCTCAACTTCTGTAGGCTGGGAGCAATCAGTTTTGTCCAGTTCTTCCTTTCCTGTATTCTGTCCATGTACACATGATGAAGTTGGAACTATGAGGTCTGGAAGGTTCTCTTCCAAACTAAGCTATTGTATGATTCTGAGTATGTAAAGCATCCAAGTGTCTCAGTTCTTTCAGTCCTTCACAGACTGCGCCCTGGACCTGAGCCAAACCCACACCGCCTTGTCCCTGTGCATGTGTTGCAGGAGGGACTGTCTAACTTGTGGTCTCCACAGCTTAAGGGGAGCATTCAGGCTATGCAGGAGGAGCAGGCCATGTAGGGGGCAAGGAAGAGGATGTAGGCTGTGTACTGTTTGAACTAGCAATGATTGCATATATATAAGGCATTGGGAAGGAAGCTATTGAGAAGGAACCCAGAGAAGGAAATGCGTATGTTAGAAAAAAGTTTTTGCCTATTTGTTTTTCTTTTCTTGGGGTGAGTTTCTCCAAAGACAGATCTGTTCCTTCTTATTTACACAACGCTAGGCATGAAATAGCAGCAGATCCCAGAAGGTGCTGCAATGGCTATGAAATCAGTTCATCTGAAATTCTGCAGTGCATGGAGAGCATCTTTGTGTGGCTTTTTTTCCACAAGCAGATTAACCTCTGTCACGTATGCATCAGAGTCCCAGATCATTCAAAGGCGCATCCTAAATCTGGGTGTAACGTAAAGCTAAAATCTCTCTCCGTCTTTTCTTCTTCCCTTTGTATCATAATGCTTGGAATAGAAGTAAATCCTACTTTCCTGCTTCTGAAAGAAGGATGAAGGGAACTCATTTGCTCATCTGCACTACTCTGAATTGGCTGATTAATAAACTAACCAGCAAGCTTGGACTACAGTTACTCCTCCTTATTTTCATATTCCTTGCCTTCCTCGTGGTTGTATGCATAGTTACTCAGTTGTTTGTTATGATGCCAAGTTTTGTATCTTGGGAAGGTCTTAAATTAATCACCCAGCTAAGAAAATGAGCACAGATTTCTTACATAGCAAAGTGCCAGCTTTGCTGAGGACCTTTTCAAAAGAGCATCATACAAGGGATGGTTGCAAACTGCATGTTTTGCCTGGTAGCAGCAAAAGTTGTCTTAAATGTCTGTGAATCTATTCTGATGCCACAAGAGTAGGTGGGTAATTCTACTAAAATAAAAAAAGTTTGATCCTATGAATACTGGGTTCAGTCTTTACAGACAACTTTATTGGGCATCTACAAAATTCACAAGATTATCTGTAACCCCTTCTAACTTCTGGCATGGAAACAGGAAGATGAAAACCCAAAGGGCTTGCTGATGCTCTTAACTTAAGGACTTATGTGAGCTACCAGTCTTGATGTTTTTCTACATATTTTCTATGTGTTTGCAGTTGCGTACCTGTTTCTGCTGTGTGTGCATGTGATTCTCTCAGCTTACTCTTGGGTTGTTGGAACTTGAGAGGAAAGCTTCGTGGCAAGACATTGTATGCCATACAGTGCTGACTAACGGGATTCTTTGAAATCCTTTCACATATCAAATAGATTTGTAAGTAATGGAGTCAGGCTGAACGTACTGCAAACCCCAAAAGCCTTGTTGAATCCTGAATTTGGCTGTCCCAACTATTTATAGAACACTCTATGCTTATTCTAAATATATTTTCCTCAAGGGGACCTCATCTCAACTCCTTGCTCCACAGCCCAAATTGGATCAGCAATGCTGCTGCAATCTGTTAGCAAAAATTCCTTCTCTAGTTCTCTGTCAGAGTTGCTGATGTTCCTGGGGCAGACCTTGAAATGCTGTGACAGGCAGTGCTCAGGGGTTTGGATTTAAACTCTGCAGCCATCCAGGAAGAGATTTTGATGATATATGAGACCACTTCCTGTAGCCATTGCTTGACTCTTTTTATGTTCCTCCTTTGCTGGTAGGTCAAGACTACAAGGGTTGACTATGGCCTAAAGCAGTACTTGCACTGGGCCAAGGTCAGGATTTAAAGGCAGTGAGTGTGTCAGTGCTGTCACCAGAAATCTCTAGAAGTCATGTCAATTTAGGTACCCTTTAAAAATCCTGTTATTCTTGGTGCAAGGAAGAAGTGACTGCTGCTTACTTGGCCTGTGTGCTCCTTAGGGTAACATTGCATCTAAGCCTCAGAAAATGTCTTTGTGGTTGACGGAGACTCTTCTTGGTAATCTTCCTTAAATGATGGATGGGGCAGCGTGTGGCAAGATCACAAAATGGGATTTTGTGCTTGGGACTTAGCGGGAGGAGTTCCTTAGCACACCTCCAGAGCAGTTTCCTTCTCTTCCTTCTCTGGAGCTGCATGAAATTAAATGGGTTACATCCTTACCTGTCTGGCAGGAAAATCACCCCAACTCAATGCAACAAAATGGACATGGTCTCTTGCTCTGGAGAACAATAGAACAGGTGGAATATATTTTACAAGGTCCTTCACATGGAGGATTTCACAGTAACCTCAAATATTGCCACAAGATGCATTCCCCTGCACACATAGGCCTTTCTTTGTGGTCTCCTCGGCTCTCCCAAGGATGGGTGCATTTCACTATGGTGAAATGTGTCTGCCTCCTGGGCTGACAGTTGGGTGGGCAGCTTGCCTCACTATGCTTCTGGCTAGTTATTCCCACTAACGTGTATCTAAACTTGATTTCCTTGTAATGTAAGGTCAATTTTAAGCCTAATTTGAACATTGAATGACGTGGTAATGTCTCAGCTGCTGCATGGAGTTTCTCCTTATTCTGCTGTTTCTGTTCTGTGAACAGAGTACAGTGGTATATATAGCACAGAGTGAAAAACTGGCTTTGTGCAACTGGTGCGGGCAGTGCAGGGTGAGGGGAAAGTGCCTGGTTTTCATGATGAAAATAGAAATCTGTCTTCATGTCTGTACTCCGGGAAGCTGATCAGATGTATTACAGAGTGATACTGTCACCACAGCTTGAAGAACTAGTTTCAGAGCTGGCTTCTATCCTTCCTGGTAGTTTAATATCCATTTTCCTATAAGAGGAGGACGTACTGCCTCTGTTCACACTGCCTTGCTAATCACAGAATTGTAAAGTCTGACCTGCTTGAACTAATGCTTTGTAGCTACCCATTCACTCACATGCAGACCAGCCCCCTGATGCCCATTTTCTGCTATTTTCTTATACTACAAAGATAATAGGAACGGTGAGTCAATTAATTCCATGAATTTCTCTTTTCTTTTTGAAGTGTTTGTCTACCGTGGAAATTAGGAACATATGCTAAAATACTGGCTTAGAGAATACTTGAGAAGTTAAGCTTAGCCCTCAAAGTAGCCTTGCTATGTTTTGCTGGAGGCGCTTGATTTTTTCCATTGCCACCAGTGTGATGTTTAGAACAGACCACACTCGTTCCCAGGAGTGCAGGGAAGTGCTGCTCTGAGTCAGGTGGGACTGAAATTGGGCTGGTGCTGGAACTGCTGTGCATTATATGTTGCACTAACAGCAATGAATACCCCTGCCTGTTTTTTTTCCTGCTGGGAGGGGATGGGTTATAGAGCTGTTTAAATCCTTTAGCCCAAATCTGTTTGCCTTCTCATCAATGGATTCTCTTTCTCTCTTTTGCAGGCATGGTTCAGAAACTTGACCAGAAGCTTCCTGTAGCCAATGAGTACCTGCTCCTTTCAGGTGGTGTGCGGGAAGGCGTGGTGGACATTGATCTTGATGAGCTGAATGTTTATGCGCGAGGCACAGACTATGACATGGACTTCACCCTGCTGGTGCCTGCGCTGAAGCTGCATGACCGCAACCAACCGGTGACGCTGGACATGCGCCACTCGGCGCTGTGCCACTCCTGGCTGAGCCTGCGGCTGTTTGATGAAGGAACTATCAGCAAATGGAAGGATTGCTGCACCATTGTGGACCATATCAACGGAGCTACCAATTACTTCTTCTCTCCAACTAAAGTTGCGGACTGGTTCTATGACTCCATTAGCATTGTCCTCTCTGAGATCCAGAAGAAGCCTCAGCGAGGGATGCCAAAGGTGGAGAAGGTAGAAAAGAATGGGACGATCATATCCATCATCTTGGGAGTGGGCAGCAGCCGAATGCTGTATGACATTGTTCCTGTGGTGTCCTTCAAAGGCTGGCCAGCTGTGGCCCAGAGCTGGCTAATGGAGAACCACTTCTGGGATGGAAAGATCACAGAGGAGGAAGTCATAAGTGGGTTTTACTTGGTGCCTGCGTGTTCCTACAAGGGGAAAAAGGACAATGAATGGAGGCTGTCATTTGCCAGAAGTGAAGTTCAGCTGAAAAAGTGCATCTCCAGCAGCCTCATGCAAGCCTATCAAGCCTGCAAAGCTATCATCATCAAATTGCTGTCCCGCCCCAAAGCCATTAGTCCATATCACTTGCGGAGCATGATGCTATGGGCTTGTGACAGGCTACCAGCCAACTACTTGGCCCAGGAAGACTATGCCGCCCACTTCCTCCTGGGTCTTATCGATGATCTCCAGCACTGCTTGGTCAACAAGATGTGTCCTAACTACTTCATCCCCCAGTGCAACATGCTGGAGCACCTCTCTGAAGAAACCGTCATGCTGCACGCACGGAAGCTGTCCTCAGTCCGCTCAGACCCCGCTGAACACCTCCGAACTGCCATTGAACACGTCAAAGCAGCCAACCGGCTAACGCTAGAACTCCAACGGCGAGGCAGCACCACCAGCATCCCCTCACCACAGTCAGATGGAGGGGACACCAGCCAGCCTGATGACCGACTAGCCAAAAAGTTGCAACAGCTAGTGACTGAGAACCCAGGGAAATCCATCTCCGTCTTCATTAACCCAGATGATGTCACAAGGCCCCACTTCAGAATCGATGATAAATTTTTCTGAGCTTTCGTCAATGTTTTTGGGGATTTTTTCTTCTGTTCTATTATTTTGAAATACTTACAGCGTGCAGGTTTTTTCAGTTGTTTTTTCCTTGATGACTTAGTCTCTTGTTTTTTACATATCCAGCATAGATTGGATCTGTTGAGAACAATCTGAATAAATTATAATTCCTGGTTCTGCAGGACGGTGCAGATTTTGAAATAGTACATTACAATTTCATATGCTGCTTTGTTGTTTTTTTTTTTTTTGTTGTTGTTGTTTTTTTGAGGCATCCATCTGCATTTGTGAGTAGTTTCTAAAGGAGAACATACACTATAGACATACATACCAGTGTTAGACAGATTTTTTTTTTTCAAGCTTCCAGAATTTCTATATACTGTTGGACCCCTGAAAGGGAGAACTCACTTTCTGCTGTGTAGGAAATTCACTTTTTGTTTTTTTTTTCTCCATGAGCTTCCATCACCCTAAAGAAATGAGAGAGACTTTGGGTTGGAAAGCACTACTGGTAATTTGATGAGGCCAAATCTAGCGGGCTGAAGCCCAGTTCATCTGTTCTTCACACTTTTCCTACCTGGGGAGAACGCTGACTTTAGAGATATTGATGGTTTTGGGAGGAAGAGTTGTTTCTGTTTTGATCTACTTTTTGAATGTAATTGTTCATAATTGGACCTTGTGTAGTCCAGAGGGTTGTTTCTGCTGCTTTCCCATGCGGAATAAGGTTATGGAATGTTAGTTTTAGTGTGTGTAATTATTCAAAGCCTTATTTAAATTCTATTAAAGAACATACCATTATAAATGTTAATTGCACTAATGAAATCTATGCCATTACCTCAGTCCCACTGTTTGTGTTTCTTTCATGAATTAGCTCTGTTATTAGGTACCAGTATTGCGGAATGCTCAAGGCCCTTTGGGTCTCATGGTTTCAGGTGATCTCTTGATTGTCTTTTGTAAAAGACTTCCTTGTTAGCCCTGCGATGTTTGAGAAGTCAGGTTTTTGCATTGGCGTATTTCTTTGGATGCGTGTCGTGTGTTGCAGTGCATATTGCATTAATATGTATTGCATGTTGTTGAAACAAGATAAAGACGTGATGCTAAAGAAGTGGTATGTGCAAAGTGAATCGGCCAGACCTCGAGCAAAGGAGCTGTCTTGCTTCTCTAATGCATGTATGAGGCCTGATCCATCATGGCATTTACCATTCCCGTGACTCCCGTGGACTTTTCTGACTCACCGTGGGACATGAGAGATCTTACTTTGGTCTCCTGTTTGCAGAAATTGTTTGTATGTAAACTTGTAGTGCGACAGTAACGAGGGTTAGTCTGAGCCAAAAATAATTCTAAGTATAATAATAATATCAAGGATGATAATTCCAAGATTCCACGTTCAAGGATAGAGTGGCTTTTTTGTGCCTGGCTGGCCAGTGACTGATATTTAGGCCTTAAATCAGCAATTTGGGCTTATTGATTTTCCCAGAGAAGCTGTTCTGATCCAAACTTGATGCATGTTTTAAAATGTGATTATTAGAGCAGCTTGAAGTATTTTTAAAATACGTGACAGACAAATGAGGAGCATATAAATGAGGAGTAAATTCTAACAGATAAAAATTGTGTTTGAAAAATGTGTCACTTCTTTCTCCTAGCCTGTCAGGTAATGAAACCAGGCTGGTGGAGCAGCACACCAGCAGCATTGGAAACTGTGTTATTTTGTCAGATGGCAGGGAGGTTTTGATGCCTATCTATTGCCCAAGTCATATCTTAAAACGAAATTTTGGCTCCTCCATCTCTTAGGCATACTTTGTTTCACTGCTGTGGCCAAGATGCTCAAATTTACCTGAATTTACTGGTACACACTGATATGAGCCTGAAGAAGCTCTCCGAAGTTGTTGGCTAGATGAAGTGGATGAGGATTTAACTTCAAAGCACAACTGGCAGTGATGGTGAGCCCTGGTGCAGCTGCAGTGATGGCCTGGAGAAGGACATGTATTGACTTCAGTGAGGCAGAAGTCACTGACTCCTACCAGTATGGCTGTTGCCAAAGATGAGTCTCTAAGTAAATCCATGTACCTGCCAGCAGAGGCTGGAGGACCAGCTGGGAATCCTCCCCAGGCGTGCTTGGAAAATGTAGATTCATTGAAATCGTCTTTTCTCCAATCTCCAGGACTTCTGTCTGCTGGGAAGAGAGCCTGAGCTCCACAATGAAATGTCCCACTGCCACGTGAGAGATCTGCTCCACACAAGGCACCAGTAGCCTGGCAGGCAGAGCCCCTGGGAGCCTCACTGTCTGCTCCTGCTCCTGAGTTATGCAGCTCTCAGCCTTCTTCATGCCAGTTCAACATCCCGATGACCAGCAGTTTGGCTGGCCCATGTCAAGCTCTGGTGTGTGCTCCTTTTCTTTTTTTTTTTTTTTTTTTTTTTTTTTTTTGTTTTGTTTTAATTAAAAAACATTTTGAAAAGTACCTATCTTGTTCTTCCTGCATTATGAGGAAAAGTTGTGTGTGTGTCTTTGTTTGGGGTGTAAACTTGGCTTTCTACCAGACTGGAAAGCAGCTTCCTATGTAGGTTTGAGAGAACTTGTATCCTAGGGAGGCAGAATTCTAATCTCCAGCTGGTTTTGAATCTCAGTCTAGTTTATTTGCTCCTTTCTACATACTAGCACAACTTGATGAAGCAGGTTGCCAACCAGAGTTAGTGTGTGCTTTGTCTGTCAAAGGCTCTATCTTCTCCCGCTCCTGCTATCCCTTCTCACCTTCTGGTACGTGTTGGGACAGACTTTCAAAGCATATAGGTGTCACATGGTTTAGATAACAAAAACCAACAATTCTTCACTGCATCCTGCAAGTTTCAAGGGGACTGCAGTGCTTTTTGTATTGGAGAATTCTTGAAAGTCCTTGTACAAGCATTTTAGAGCGCCCAGCCCCATCGGGCATCCCAGCTGTGGCCCTACTCTTGGAACAAGGTTTTGCCTTTGCTATTTCAATTGAGTTTCTGGCTGGCAGCAGGGTAGGAGAAAGAGCTCATGTGACTGATTCCAGTTGTCACTTCTGTGAGTCCTGGTGCCCCAGGTATAGCTGAGCCTGCAGAGCTGACAGTCACCAGCTGGTGGGGGAAAATACATGGAGATAAAGGAAAAAATGCCTCCTTTACAGACCAAAAGTCAGAGACTCCTGATGGTTGCATTGCTCTGCTCTCAAGGCTGTGACTTGCTTCAACAGCAGCTCCACGTAGCTTCATCTCTGAAGACATTTCTGTAGAGGTTTATTTTGGTGTCTCACCAACCTGCTTGATGCGTAGTGATGAATGCAGATTGCAGCTGGGTAATGAAAAGTAGCCAGGAAATGGTTGGGACTGGGGGGGCATGGAACAGAGTTCAAATCTCAGTAAAGTCCATTGGGACTCAAAAATATGCTTGAAAATATGCTTGAAAATAAGTGTGTGTTCTTTGCTGGATCAAACTGATTATCAAGGTAAGCAGACTGTTGTATTTTATTAACTCATGTGTAATGCAGGCAGCCATGCCTAGTGCAAGCGATTGTGACTGAGGGAAGGGGGAAGATAGGTTTTGCTAATGATTATTTCTTCAACTTTTCTGTTAAAATGTGTAAGATTGTTACCTAGAATTGACTAAAAGAAGTAATCTATCTGTCCCTTTTTGCAGGTTCAGCATGGAATACGTTTTGCCAGTTTGTTTTGTATTACAGAGAGTGTGTTGGAAAGGTCAGTGGGCAACTGAGCACAGTGATGCTCAGATTCTCTTGACGTTGGCTCAGTGATTAGAAATATTCAGCATGTAAATAGCTTGTTCAACATCAGCAAGTACATCATCTCCCTCCTGCCAGCTTGCTTAGGGTGAGCTAATGGACTTTTAACATTATGCAGCTGAGAGTTGCTGTCTCTAATAGCTCCTGATTAAACTCTCCAGAAGGGAAGATAACCACTGTGGGGCAGAGGCTAAAAAATGGGGATGTGGGAATGGGGATGGCAGGGTGCACAAAATAGCAGACATTAGAAAGCTGCTGGCCAAGGGGCACTTGCTGATGTGTTGTATTTAGGGAAATTCAGCTTTATATTTAGCACATTTTGGCATTTGAGAACCGTCTTTCTAATGGAGCCCAATTTATTTCCTCTGCTTTTAGAATAGTGACAAAATAGCCCTCCATCCCTTCTCCTCCCGCATTTCCCATTTCTAATCTATTATTTTAGGGCTGATCTGAGGAACTATTGTGTTCTTTTCCTATTATCTTTGTCCCTGGCTCAGCACTGTGCTTCCAAGCTGAATGTAGGCTTTTGGGGGTTATTTTTATCTTACTGACCTTCTGTGGTAGAGGAACACGCTCTCATTCACTCACAGACAGCCTGATTTGCTAAGCAGAGATGTGGGTGCATACACATACATCAGGCTCCCTTCAGATTCACTTGGCCTTGCCTCTGCCCCTCAGATTTTTGCAGTGAAGACATTGCTGAGGTCTTGCTGAGCATAGGGAAGCCATCTGAAGGTACAATATGTGATTCTCAAGTCTTAAGCAAGTCCTAACAAAAGGCAGAAGCTGAGGCCAAACAGCAGACACTTTTGTCCTCAATTCTCATCCCCTTCGATCCCCTTGTTTCAGTTTTCTTTTTGGGAGGTGATGAGAAAGGCGATCTGCTTCTGTCTGCCTCAGTGGTCCAAATCCTAGATGTAGCTTGCGATGTTAGACACTTTAATTAATGGCTCTGCTTATCTCAAGGGCTCCTTCTTTCTTTACAACCTACCATGACATTGATAGGACTGGAGAGGATTTTATGATCTGTTCAACCAGTTCACAACAGAACTGTGTAGAGAAAGGAATGGACATTTTCCCTGAAGAATGAATGACCTTGTATCCTTCTGCCTCCTCTGTGCCAAGGCTTGTGCACAGCATGTTGTTAATAGCCATTTCTAACACTTCAGGAAGGAATCTGGGGCTCTTTTAGAGTTTCCCTTGAACAGACAACAGAGGGGAGCTGGAGGGAGTGGGTGAGGACACAGTGTCCCCTTGCTCTGACCTCAAATCTCCGTAACACTGCCAAAGCTGTAGTGACTGACTGCTGCTTCTATGACAAGACACCATTGGTGGAGCTTCGAAGAAGAGAGGCAGGGTCTCAGCTGGCAAAGATGGCTCCCCAGGGAGACCTACAGCAAGCCCAGCATCTCCTATGTGTTCTTCCTCATGGGGAAGTGCTCAGGACATGCAAAGCACTGTGTCTTACACTTACATTGGCTTACAAGGATGCAAAGTATGTGACTTGGGGCAGTGAGGAATGAGGACCAACTACAGTGACTTTGTGAAAGCTATGTTTCCCCTTGACCTCATGCTGTCCAGTTCCTGTGTAAAAATGCCCAAACCCATAACCTCCATTTGGCATCCCTTTGTTTGCCAATGGCTTTGTTTAATCCTGACTGAGGTACATGGTGTTGCATTCATTGCATTATTCTGTTAGTCACTGATGACAAAATTGCAGCAAAGGTGGAAATTGTTTCAGAAAGCCTCCAGAAAAAATTATGATCCCATCAGCTAAAGGAAAATGTAGAAACTGACCCCAGCAGTGCTGAATGCCATCAGCTCATTGGGACTGAAGAACTACTAAGTCCAAGACACATGTTACATGGTCAGTAGTACAAGGCTCCTGCAATTTCTCCTTCCTCACCTGCCCCCTCAGCCTGTTTCTATATTGCACTCAGCACCCCCACCCAGCATCTTTAAATAAACACCTCAGAGGTGTTCTGTTACAGTAATGAACAAAAAGGAAATAAATTGCTGCTCAAAGAAGCTGGGATA